AGAATGCATTTTTTTGTTTGTTTCTGACCGAGTTTCTCAGTGTTAACAACCCTGGCTGTCTGGAACTCACTCTGTAGACCAGGCTGGCCTTGAACTCACAGATCCACCTGCCTCTGCCTCTTGAGTGCTGAGATTAAAGGCTTGTGCCACCTCACCTGGCAAAATAGTTATTTTAAGATGGGAACTGTAAAGTGAAATGGAATAGAACTGAAAATAGCTTGTTTACTGGTAGAAAGTTCTGTAGAAGTGTAGTACTGACTTAGAAATGTTCGTTCTCATCTATAAAAGCTAATCACAATAAGCATAAATTAAGACCCCAGTTTGCTTATACATTCCTAGCACATAAAGGTATAAACATTATCAAGAATTCCATTGGGCTGGAGAGATGGCTCAATGGTTATAGCTGCACTTACAGAGATCCTAAGTTCAATTCCAAGCAAACACATGGTGGCTCACACCATCTCTAGTGGGATCTGATGCCCTCTTCTGGCATAAAGTTGATAGAGTACTCATACACATAAATCTTCAAAAAAATAAAAATTTCCTAACTATTTCTTCAGTGAGTGCTGTGGCTTGAAGCAGTGAGGGAGAGAGGTGGTGACTGAGATGGATTCTTTAGGAGGAGAGGCAAGCCAAATTGAATTTTGTTAATAAATTTAAAGGCTTACTTGAGAGCATGTTTACACTTGTGATGGATTGTCCAGAATAGAAGCAAGTCTGTCTTTTCCCCTCACTAGTGCCAGGCTGGCCTCAAACTCACAGGGATTGCTTGCCTCTGCCTCCCGGGATCTGGGATTGCATTTTGATATTTGAATTTCATTTTCAGAGTGTCTTAGTGAAGCTACATATGATGCACACCTACAATCCAGGACTTGGGGGGTGGAGGCAGGAAGGTTGGAGTTGACAGTCGTGACCTGTATGCCAAGTTAACAGACCAGCCTGGCCTGAAGAAGATTCAGCCAGGAGGAAGGAAAGACTAGTATTGTTACAAGGCCTAGGTTAAGTCCACACCAGCACAAATTTAATCTACCTATATTATGTTTACTTTGAGATTTCTATTTCTGTTGCACACAGGTGACTAAGGAGAAGGCTGTTCCCCCCTTTTTTAAAGGTGTGGATCCAGAGTGGCTCTAGACTATATAAATGAGCCAGGTTTGTACACAGTGCTTGTAGCTTTTAGAGGGCTGCCTGCAAACACCTCCCCTTCTCCTTCTACTTGGTTCCTACAAACAGGGTTTAGATGGAAGGGTACTTGATGAGAAACATCTTGCACAGACTATCCACAGCTTGATTTCAGGACAGCTTATACATGTCTTCAGATCAGCCAGTGAGAGTGGTGTAAAGGCTGATGTAGACCAGAGTTCCATCTCTAAAACCCGCATGATGGAAGGAGAGAACCAACTCTAACAAATTCCCCTCTGACATCCACACATGCATAGCTCTGATATACTTTAAAAGGTTTATTATTTTAAATTAGTGTGTGTCTGTGTGGGTATGTGTAAATGAGTATAAGTACCCACATAGTTCCTAAGAGGGTGTGGGCTTCCTTGGAGCTGGAGTTCCAGTTATGCACCATCCAATCTGGGTGCTGGGGATTGAACTAGGGTTCTCTGTAAGAGCAGTACCTACTCTTAGCCCCCAAATTAAAAAAAAAAATTATCGAGAGAGTCCTCAAATCCCCACACTGAGATGCAATTATTTATAAAGGCTACGTATTGTCTCTTATAGTCGTACTATTACTCATTTACTCAGAACCACACTGATAGGCATTTTGGACTACTATTTGGGACTTTTAGAACATTTAAGTGAATATTCTTATACAAAGTTTTTCCTGTTTTGAGCCTAGTAATATACAGCCGATAACATACTTGGATGTGTAATTACAAAGCAACTAAGTTAATTTTACTAGGTTTTTAAAACATTTTTATGTTTTGGTGATGGGGAAAGTCCTTCTGTATATATGTAAATAAAGCACTGTTGGCCATTAGGGAAGCAAGATAGGTGGGACTAGGAGTCGAAGAGGATTCTGGGAAATGTCGTCAAGGGTGCGTCATCTCCATGTGATCACAGGAAGAGGACACATGAGGCTGCACCCTTGGAAAGATAAATCCTTATAAAAATATATGTTAGTAATTATGGGTTAATAATTAAGTCAGAGCTAGCTGATTAGAAGCCATAGCAAATGGCCAACAGCTTCATAATTAATATAGGATCTTGGGTGCTATTTGAGGCAGGGTTTCTCTGTGGCTTTGGAGCCTGTCCTGGAACTCACTCTGTAGACATGGTTGGTCTCGAACTCAAGAGAGATCCGCCTGTCTCTGTTTCCAGAGTACTGGGATTAAAGGTGTGTGCCACCACAACCTGGCTATTAGTTTTTGATGTGTGAAATTGATTTCCTTTTTTATTTCTGCTTTGTGTTTGCCTGTTGACTTATGACAGGTTCTTTGCTCATTTTTGTTAGGTTGCTATTTTCTTTTGGGGTACGGGAGGGAGTTGAAACAGGGATTCTTTTTGTCCTGGAACTTCCTCTGTAAACCAGGCTGGCCTTGAACTCACAGATTCACCTCTGTGTCCCAAATGTTGGGAGTAAAGGTGTGCGCTCTAAGGTGTCTGTTTTCATACCGGTTAAGTTGTTGATAGTCTACCTCCCTCCTTCCCCCCTCCCTCCCTCCCTCTCTTCCTCCTTCCCTCCCTTCCCCACTTCCTCCTCCTCCTTTTTTTAATGGCTTCTTTGTCTTCTGCCTTTCTACATGTTTTCCAGTTATGTAGTTACTCATGGGTCAGTTTGTGGACACTTTTGTGATTTTTTTTTAAACTTTAAATCCCTTGAGCTGTAAGGGTTGGAGATAGGAAACCAGCTCTCCTAACACCATTTATGGAATAATTGGTCATTGTCCCATTTCATGTGCTGTGACCAGAGCCTATTTCTATGGCATGCGTTGTTAGCACTGACCTATTCAAAGAGCACCATGTCTACATGGTCTCTCTTTCTCCTCCCTGCTCCTCCCCTCCTCCCTGTCCCAGGATTACATTGAAGCCCTCTTGCGTGCTAGGCAAATGCTCTATCATTGATCTATATCCCAACTCCCTTTCTTTTCTTTTGGCTGTTTAATTTTTGACACTGGGTCTTGGTAAGTTGTCTAGGCTGACCTTGCAAGTTTTTCTATATCCTGTCCAGGCAGGCTTTGAACCTCTGTTCCTCCAGCTTTGCATACCAAGTAGCTTCGATTACAGGCCTGCACCACTAGGCTTGGCTAAATTTATGTACTCTGGTTTCCCTCCTCCCAGTTTTCCATAGTACAGGTGAGGTGATTTTTTTCTTGGCTAGGACAAACCAAATCTACCTTTGTGGGCTTCCCATTGCTCTTTGGGTAAAGACCTGGTCCTCAGTGTGACTTAAGACCCCTGTGGCCTGACTCCTTTTGTCGCCCCTCCCCTGTTCACAGTTTCACTTGAAGTCATCCTTCCTTCCTGGATTGTGAACTAAGACTCTTCTAGGCAGCAAAATGAGTCAGCCCCAATACTCACCTAATTTTTCCCATTGATCGGGGATGTTTTTGAAAAAAAAAAAAAAAACCCTGATATGCCTTAGCTTGAAACTCACTGTATTCATTTTAAGGAGATTTATTTTGAGAGAGTGTGTGTACATGCCCTCAGTGTGTGCACTTATTCTGTGTGTGGATATGTGCACTTGAGTGCATGTTCCCATGGAAACCAGAGACATCAGAACCTTCTGGAACTGGAGTGACAGGCTGTTTGAGCTGCCCACTGTGGGTGCTTGGACTCAAACTCCTTCAGCAAATGCAGTTTATGCTCATGGCTGCTGGGTCATCTCTCTAGCCCTGTCTTACGCATTTTATCCAGTATCTCAAGGTTGTTGTAGACAAAAGGATAATCTCATTGCTAGTACTTCATCCCAGAATCTCATTTCTTGTCTTTTTCAGACTGTAACAATGAGTCTCTAGCTGTTGTATATTAATAAAAAAATATTTTTAGGTTTCTTTATGTGTATGAATGTTTTGCCTATATGTATATATGTATGTATGCATGTGTATCACATACATGCCTGGTCAGCAGATGGCATTAGATCTCCTGGAACTGGGGTGCCAGATGGTTGTGGGCCACTATGTGGGTACTGAGAATCAAACCCCGATCCTCTGCAAGAGCAACAAGTGTTCTTAAATGCTGAGCCATCTCTCCATCCCGTCACCATTAATTTAAATTCCATAAACATTGATATTATTTCAGACACCTCATTTTTCTTTCAGATTATTCCTTTTTAAAAATTTTATGTATGTATATGTGTGTATCTGCATGAGTTTATATGTGCCACTTGCATGCAGTAGTGTATTGAGGCCAGAAGAGGATGTTGGACACCCCCCCCACTGGAATTTCAGACAGTTCCGAGCTGCCCAGTGTGGGTGTTTGGAATTGAACTCAGGTCCTCTAGAAGAGTCATAAGTGCTGCTAACTACTGGGACATCTCTCTGCACTCCCACCCCCTTTTTTTCCCCACCCCCTTTTCTAATTATGTTGCCTCGGCTAGCTTCAGACTTGTGTAGTTCAGGCTGGTTTTACATTTTCTGCAGCCTCCTAAATTCTGGGATTATAGGTGTGTATCACCATACTCAGTCCACTTTCTTGATAGCATAAAGATTGCTTTAACATTTAAATTTTTATTGCAGTAGCAAAATAAAGTTTAGGAATTAAGTAAAATAGGCCATAGCATCAGAGGCAGGTACAGTTAGAGGACCCAAAGATAAAACTTACTTTACAGAAAGTTGGGCTGGTGGCAGAAGGAGTCAGTAGTTTGTAGAGGTTCATAATTCATATGATAAAATTGTAATTACTATATAGTAGGAATAGTTTCATAAGTTATATGCCACTAGTAAATACAGACTACACATGCTTAAGTAAGCATGAATCCATGCAGTATATGAATTTTTCATAACGGAAGAGAAACTCAACAGTACTCTTAACTATTTTTTCTTTCTTTCTAGATTTAAATAGTTGAGTAAGATCAAGCTGGGTAACCATGGCTGAAGGTGGATTTGACCCCTGTGAATGTGTTTGCTCTCATGAACATGCGATGAGAAGACTGATCAATCTGGTGAGATGAACAGAGCAATCCTATTCAGAACTGAGCTGTGTGCTTCCTGGCTGTTAGATTAGTGTTTGTCTCCCTTGCATTTCTATTACAACCGTCCCTCTGAAGGACGTCAGGGAGGGAGCTCAAGGCAGGAACTGAAGGAGAGGCCACGGAGGAGCATTGCTTAATCACGTGTGCCCCATGGCTTACTTAGCCTGCTTTTCAACAACCCAGGATCACCAGCCCAGGGGTGGCACTGTCCACAGTGGGCTGGGCCCTCCACATCAATCAATCAATCAATCAATCAATCAATCAATCAATCAATCAGTAATAAAGAAAATCAATCAATCAGTAATAAAGGCTGATGTGATAGAAACATGGTCGCAGTTGAAGTTCCCCCTTCCCAGAGAACCCTTATTTCTGTGTAGTAGACAAAAAAACCAACAACACAGAGGTTAATAGAGAATTTTATCCAGATCGTCACTAAAAAAATATTTGGTAATGGCAATGCCCTGAAGTAAGACATAATGATAAAACACTTGCCAGCACTTGTTTTATTAGAGACGAAAACCGATTCTTAACTTCTGTGGTTTGCTTATTTATTTACTTTATTTAAGGACATTTGGCATTCTAGTTGTTTAACCACAGTCATGCTGAGCCTGTTGTATTCATGTTGGAACAGATAATTGTTTTTAGTTATGTGGAGTTTGTCTACAAGCTCCTGTGAAACCATGGATCCTTTCTGATATACACAGCTCCGTCCTTCTCCAACATAGATCAGACAGTAAGTCTCCTAGAAAGAGTTTCTAGATCTAATAAGTTGTTGTAGAAATAGTTTTTTTTTTTTTTTTGAGCTGAGCAATGGTAGTACACAGCTTTACTCTCAACACTCAGGAGTCAGAGGCAGGCAGGCCTCTGTGAGTTTGAGGTCAGCCTCATCCACAGAGTGAGTTCCAGGACATAAGCTTATAACTGATACTGCTTATATTATAGTGTATATGTTTTAGTATAAAAGGATAAAATTGACCATTATTAATAATAGAGTACTTTTTTTAAGTATTAGGGATCCTACCCAAGGCCTCATGAACACCAGGCGACACCCACTTTGCTGCTGAGCTATTTCCCCACCCTCTCAAGTCTTAAAGTCTCTTGACACACATTTTATTATTTTGTGTGTATGGCGTTTTGTCCGAATGTATGCCTGTGTGCCATATGTGTGCCTGATACTCTTGGGGACACTTTCAGATCCCAGTTGTAAGTTTCAATGTGAGTACTAGGGACCAAACCAGCCTTGTTCTGAAGAGTAGGCAGTGAGCCATTGCTCCAGTCCCTGAGTCTTAAATTTAATCCAACATAAGGCATAATTTTCAACATATTTGGATGTTAATAACAAAAAATTGTCCTACAATTTAACTGTGGTGAAACAAGGAGTCAATTTTTAGATAAAAATTACTATCTTTTAAATTTTATATTTTAATTTTGTATGTATTTTGTTGTTGTTGTTCCAACTTGGCTACATTTTAGAGGTAATTAAAAAGGGAAGTGTCTGTCCCTTCCCCTGCCTGGTTGTATGCATGTGACCCTCATCCATGCTGCTGGCTTCTAATTTTAGCTCAGGTTCTAGATCATGGTGCATGAAAAAGATGTGGTTGGAAATGGTTAGTCATGAGTAGTATGCCATGAGTGAAGAAACCCTCTCTGGATCAAACCTGGGACTCATACCTCAGGACACAGAGTCAGGGAAATGTAAGAGATGTTCATCCAGCAGATGATTCCCAAGATGGAAATATAAGAAAAGAAAAAGTATACAGCACCTGAAGTTGATAACTGATTCCAGAAACATCAAAGATGATGCCTGGTGGAACATAGAAACAAGGTTATTGCCTTTAAAAGCCAGCATCTTAAATATCATTTAAATAAATGGCTCACTGCATTAAAGAAAATACAGGCAGTTCAAGTTAAGAGAGATCTTGTCTGCATACACAATGAAGAGGAGGATTGTTAGAGACCCAAACAGAAACCTTGAGAATGAACAGCTCATGAAATCATATAGCAAGATCAGTTGAGAGCTTCAGCAACAAACTTGATTAGATGAAAGAAGAAATAAGAGAGGTTGAAAGACAAGACTTTTGAAATGTTAGGGCCAGACATAAATGAAGGAAAAAAAGGAGTGAAGAGAAAATATGAGTGTTTTGGGAAACCTTTTTTAAAGATCTCATATTTGGCTCATTGGCTCTGTGTAACAAGAGCCTCGGGATGACTTCAGAAGTGGGCTGGGGAAGTGGCTCAGTGGTTAAGAGGCCTTACTCGTCTCCAGCACTTGAGGTTGGGTCCCAGCACACACAGCAGGAAGCACACAACCACCTCACATCCAACTGCAGGGGACCCAATGCCCTCTTCTAGCCTCCAAGTTCACCCACACATGGCATACTCAAATACAGACACACAAACAATTTTTTAAGGAGGAAGGGGGTGGCTCAGAGTTAAACGTACTGCCTTCTCTTCCAGAGGACCTGGCTCAATTCCAAGTATCCAGATGGCAGCTCACTTCAGTTCCAGGGGATCCCATACAAACACTGCATGCAAACAGTGTACATACTCAGGCAGGTACATATATACATAAAACCAACCGATAGATCTAAGAAAATTAAAATTCCCAAGCCAAACTTGTAATTTCAGTGAGCACAAAGATGCATGTGTCTGCTGAAGAGCAGGACCCATTGTCTCTTCCTTCTGTGGGATACAGTTTGCTGTAGGCCTCGGCCGGCAGGCTAAAATTGGACTCCTTTTTAAGAAAAGGCCGTGGGAAGGCTCCTCCTTGGATGTTGAGGACCAGGAGGGAAGCCAAGGTGATGCCAAACCTGGAGTGGCTGTGAAGCAGTGAGGAAGAGAGATTGCCTGGCTCAGTGAAATGGATCTGTTTGATGGCTGTCACACTAGAAGGCGCTGTCACCCCCATAGCCCATTGTTAGCAGGTCCAAGGACTTCAGCAGCTGCCGTGTGCTAAAGCAATTGGTGGTTAAAGCCCAAAGCAAAGGCTGCAACCTAAGTGGCTACAGCAGAGGTCTTGTGTTAGAAGTCTGCAGCAATAGGACTGCTCTTGAGATTTGGTGCATGATACCATATAAACGTATTTGTAAAAGTGACCTGGTAGCACATAGACCTTTTAATCCCAGAATTTGGGAAGCAAAGTCAGGTGGATCTTGATGAGTTTGAGGCCAGTCTGGTCGACATTTCAGCAGGATTTCTTTGTTGTTCCACATGGTGTACCTGAGGCTAGTAGACTTGCAAGCGTCAAGGGAAACTCCTGTCTCAACTAAGAAAGGGAGGAAGGAGCCAGGCGTTAGTGGCGCACACCTTTAATCCCAGCACTCTGGAGGCAGAGGGAGGCGGATCTCTGTGAGTTCGAGGCCAGCTTAGTCTACAGAGTGAGTTCCAGGACAGCCTCCAAAACAATACAGAGAAACCCTGTCTGGAAAAAAAAAAGAAAGGGAGGAAGGAAGGGAAGGGGGAAAGAAAGGGGGAAGGGAAAGGAAAGAAGAGAAAAAGAAAAAGAAAAGAGATGTGGTGATATCTTGCTTGTACAAATAAAGCTTGTCTGAAGATCAGAGGATGGAGCTTGCCACTGGCTAACCATAGAGGTCTGGAGATCTGTACAGACAGACAGGAAGTAAGGTGACTGGGCAGAGAGAAGGAAGAAACAGGGACTCACTCTCTTTTCCGCTGGGAAACTAATGAGGTAAAGGTGACTTTGATTTGCTCTTGCTTCTCTCTAATCTCTCAGCATTTTTCTCTATATCTGACTCCAGGATTTTTATTATTTAGACCTATTAGGAACTCCATTTACATTTTGGCTCCAATGTGGGGTACAAACCCACGATCCTGAGATTAAGAGTCTCATGCTCTGGCCAGAGAGTCTGGGAAACAGAACCTTCATTCAATGGCTGATGGAAGCAGAGGCAGACTCCCACAGCTAAACACTGAGTTGAACTCAAGAAATCCAGTAACAGAGAGGGAGTAATGATGACCAAAGGGATTAAGACTGGGCTGGTTTAACCTCCAGAAACAGCTGTCCAGACAAAGGTTAGCTCTTGAATCCCAGACTGATGCCTGGGAATCCAGCATGGGACTGATCAAGACCCCCTGAATGTGGGTGTCAGTGAGGAGGCCTAGGTAATCTATTGAGCCTTGGGCAGTAGATCAGTACTTATCCTGGGTATACAAATGGACTTTGGACTCCCATCCAACAATGTGAGATGCACTCTCACCCTGAACTCTTGGGGAAGGGTCTAGGCTATGCCCTGGATGAAATGACAGACTATGGACACCCCCATGGAGGGCCTCACCCTCCCTGGGGAAATGAGGGGATATTGGGGGGGTTGGTAGGAGGACACAGGAGGAGGGGAGGGAAACAGAGAGGGACCTGGAATGGACATGTGAAGCAACATTGTTTCTAATTTAAATTTAAAAATAAATAATAAAAAAAGGAGAAAAAAAACTTAAAGAAATTTCAAAAAAAAAAAGTCTCGTGCTCTACTGGCTGAGCTTTATTTGTACAAGCAAGATATCACCACATAGATAGATAGATAGATAGATAGATAGATAGATAGATAGATAGATAGATAGATATTATTTACTATAGGAGTGCTGGGATTACAGATGCATGAATGTGATTTCTGAGAACTTAAACTAAGATCTTCTGCTGATTTGGCAGCTATTTTACCCACTGAGATATCTTCACTGCCTGATGCTTTAAAGAACATACTCACCTCTAAGAATAAAGAAAAAAATTGAGGCTAATATATTGAGAGAATGGGAGATTTACATTGTAGTTTTAAATTTTTTTTGTTTTTTTTTTGTTTTGTTTTGTTTTTTTTTTTTCGAGACAGGGTTTCTCTGTGGCTTTGGAGGCTGTCCTGGAACTCGCTTGGTAGACCAGGCTTGGTCTCGAACTCACAGAGATCCGCCTGCCTCTGCCTCCCGAGTGCTGGGATTAAAGGCGTGCGCCACCAACGCCTGTCCAATAGGTGGTTTTCTTGTCCCCATTTTAGTAGATGAATAAGCTGAAGTTGAGAGGTGTCAAGTAACTTGCCCAAACCCTTGAAACACTAGGAAGAAGTTGTCTCACTTGACTTAAGGTGATGCTTGTCATTCTGTGGAGCCCATGCTTAGCCAGCTCAGGAGTTGTTCTTGTGCAGGTTGCTGTACAAACAGTTGTACTTGACTGTTGTGGGATATTTGTACACTGTGTGAAGTTGTATTGCTGTGATTGATGTAATAAAAAACTGAACAGCCAATAGCTAGGCAGGAGGTATAGGTGGGATTTCTGGGTAGAGAAACAGGGAGAGGAGGAAGATTCCAGGTGCACAGGAGACACTAGGAGACAGAGAGGAAACAAGAGGTGGAAGAGAGGTAATGCCACGTGATAGAACTTAGATTAATGTAAATGGGTTAATTTAAGTGCTAAGAGCTAGTTAGGAACACGTCTATGCTATAGGCTGAGCTTTAATAAGATGTCTCCATGTGATTATTTGGGAGCTGACTGGTGGGACAGAAAAAGACTTGTTACACTGAGAGTATCATTCATAATGAGACTGAATTGAAAAGTTGCATTTTGTTGACTGTTTACCATTCAGTCATCTCTAGTGAGATTTTCATTTCCCAACCATCTAAAAGACTTTCACATAAGTTGACTTGCATAATTGACTGATGGATTTTAAAATATTTTCAATACATAATCTCATGATTCCAAAACCAAATTTTATAGTTGGACATGGTAACATGTTTTTGTAATCCCAACCTTGGGAGGTAAAGGCAGGGAGGATCAGGAGTTTATGATCATCCTCTGCTGTGTAGTGAGGCTAGCCTGGCCTACATGAAACCCTGTCTCAAAAAAATAAAGGCCTGGAAAGATGGCTCAGCAGGCTAAGTGAACTGGATGCTTTTCCAGAGGACCAGACCAGGGTTCAATGCCAGCACCCACGTGGTAATTTAAAACCTCTGTATCTCCAGATCCTGATGCTCAGTGCTGACCTCTGTTGGGCCTCGTGCATAAAGTAAATGTGTCTAAACTTTTAAAAAAGTGACTTGCTTGTTTATTGTATTGTGCTAGGAATTACATGCAGGGCTGCATGCATGCTGAGCCAGCTCCAGTGCTGAGTTCTACCTCCCCTGCCCCAAACCCATGTTGGTGGCTCAGCAGCTAACTCTCCTCTCCTCTCACTGCAGCTCCGGCAGTCCCAGTCCTACTGCACAGACACAGAATGCCTCCGGGAGTGTAAGTACTGGGGGGGGGCTGGGCACAAGGAAGGGCCCAGAAGAGTCCACAGACAGTATTCTCCCTGTGAATTGTTTATTCTCATTCTCTCTCTCTCTCTCTCTCTCTCTCTCTCTCTCCTCCCTCTCTCTCCCCTTCCCCCTCTCCCCACCCCACAGCCGATGGAACAATGGCTGGCTTCAAACTCACGGATCCTCCAGCCTCTGTCTCCTGAGTGCTGAGATTAAAAGCATGCCCCACGCCGGGTGGTGGTGGCGCACGCCTTTAATCCCAGCACTCGGGAGGCAGAGGCAGGCGGAGCTCAGTGAGTTCGAGGCCGGGCTGGACCGATAGCCTTCAAAACAATACAGAGAAACCCTGTCTCGTAAAAACAAACAAAAAAAAGAAACAACAACAACAAAAAAGCATGCCCCACCATCACCCAGCATCTTATTTTCATATTTTAAAAACAGCTTCCCGGGAAAAGATGGCTTGGAGGTTAGGAGCACTGGCTGCTATTCCAGAGGTCCTGAGTTCAATTTCCAGTAACCACATAATGACTCACAACCATCTATAACAAGATCTGGAGATTTGGTGCCCTCTTCTGGCATATAGGAATATATTTGCAGGCAGAACACTGTATACATAATAAATAAATAAATCTTTAAAGGGGGAAAACAAAAAACAGTTTCACATAGCCCAGGCTGGCCTTGAACATCTGATTACATGGCCTTCACCTCCCATGGTGCTACGATTACCATCTTGTCTGATTTAGTTTATTTTATGGTGAGTGACTCTTGGTTATATATTTGCTTAATATATTCAAAAATGTTTTGGCTGAGCTGGGCAGTGGTGGCGAATGCCTTTAATCCCAGCACTCGGGAGGCAGAGGCAGACAGATCTCTGGGAGTTCAAGACCAGCCTGATCTACAAGAGCTAGTTCCAGGACAGTCTGTAGACCAGACTGGCCTCAGACTCAGAGATCTACCTGCCTTGCCTCCTGAGTGCTGGGATTAAAGACGTGTGCCACCACCTAGTGGGAGTTTTTCTTTGATTTGATATTTCTAACCTGATTAAAGCTCAAAATAATTTTAAATTCAAAAGGCATACTTTGGCCATTCTGAAGTCTCCTGCACACATCTGAAGGCTTCGACTGCCAGATTATATTGTCTTCATTTATTGTGCAGTAATAGTTTCCTAACCTTGGGTCTCAACCATGCTGGGCAAGTACTCTGCTTCTAACCTACATTTCTAGCTCCAAATTACATGTATTAATAGGTTGTTTATATTTAGTATCAGGTGCTAATCTCTCTCTCTCTCTCCTTTGTGTGTGTGTGGGGGGGGGCCGTCAGAGGTAGACCGAATCAAGTATATTCCTCAATCACTCTGCACCTTTAATCCCAGCACTTAGGAGGCAGAGGCAGGTGGATCTGCGGGAGCTTCAGATCAGTCTGATTACAGAGTGAGTTCCAGGACAGTCAGGTTATACAGCAGACTCGTCTCCAGCAATCCTCATATGCACCCATGCTCCTGAGACCAGCTGTGCCATTGACTTTAGAGTGGATAAGCTTGGAAACTGGTAGCTGACTCCCATAAATTATCTTCTTACCTCCCCGCAAACAACTATTAGTCTAGGGATATAGTTCAGTGGGGGAGGGTTTGCCTAACTTGTCTAACCATAACTTGTCTAACCAGCACAGAAAAGAAAAATTAAAGAGGAGAAACTCTATCAAGCCTTGAAGGTCAAGAAAATCGCATCTGTTTGGATTTTGCTGCCTACTCCTGCCCATCCCTTGTTCCGCCTCCCCCTACCACCAATTCAGTTAGTCACTAAGGGCTGTGTTTCTTTGTCCTGCCGCCATTCGTATTTGATTTCGATGCTTCATTCTCTTTTCCTACTACAGGATTATGTTCCCAGAATCTACATTTTACTGAACTGTGATTGGTCCAGTTGCTGATAGTGGATGTTTGTCTAATACCTACTGTGTAGCAGACCATTCTGTTTTTTGTGGCCTATCTATTTCAGTGCTCACTGCTACTCTATGAGGTGATGGAGATGTTTCCCTTTCACGAATAAACCAAGACTAAATGGCGAAGAGATAGTAGTCGAGTAGCCACGAGATGGTCTCAGCTCTTAAAAAGTTAATGACCTAGGCAACAACTGGAGCTGAGTAGTTCCCCAGCTTGGGAAGACAGCAACTGTGATTTGATCACCTAATTAGGAAAACTGGGAAGCTATTCCTTGGATTAAGAAATGCCATGATACTTTGGAGAAGGCAGCAGAAGGAATGGGATTGTTATAGGGGAGAGGGAGTAGTAAAGTGAGCGCATACCAGACAGGGTGGAGGACATGGGATGCTTTGGAAAGACTGAGCTTGCATCGGCCCCTGCCAGAGAGTATTGAGTTAGTATTACATCATGTTCATTTGGGAAGGTTTTGAAAAAATGTTGGACCACACCCATATGCTGCTCCTGAATCAGATGGTCTGACACAGGGCTTCAGAATCTGTGATGTGAGGCACAGGCCTTACTGATGTCCTGCCAGACCAGGAAAACATTGGCTCAGAAATATGGAATAACTAGAAAAGATAATGTTGGAGGAAGTGAAGATGAGATAAGTAGGGCCAGATCACACCAGCAAAGGTCAGGCCAGTGTGCTCAGAGTCAGATGGATAGGCAGTAGTTACTGTTTGTGCTACTGGTGTGAAGACACACACTTGTCTGGGAGTTAAGGAAAGGAAAATCAGGAATGCGAGGCAGCCCAGGCTGCGCTGGAGACCTAATAAGAATGGATGATGGATAGGCCCTGTGTAAGAAAATTAGGACCCATCAAAGTTCAAGTACAATGTGTCAAGTATGATATAAATAAAGGCTTGTGTTCTGGGTTCAGTCTCCAGGCCCCACATGGAGGAAAGACTGAACCAGATCTGAAAGTCACCCTCTAACCCTCATGTGTGTGCTCCACACACAAATAAAGAAGAATTGTTTTTGAGACAGGGTTTCTCTGTGCAGTCCTTCATTGTCCTGGAAGTCACTATATAGACCAGGCTGGCCTCGAACTCATAGAACTCACCTGCTCTGCCTCTGGCGTACTGGGATTAGAGGCATGCGCTGCCACCACCTAGCTCCATAGGTATTCTTAATCTGGCTTCTTTAGATTTGTGATTTCCTGAGTCCATGAACCTTCTGCAGTCAGTGCAAAACTGTTGAATGTGTGTAGCACATGGAGTGTCGACTGGGCAGGTAAAGGGCACACTGCGTACTCTTGCAGAGGACCAGAGTTCTGTTCCCAGCACCCATGTCAGATGGCTCACAAACTGCCTATGGCTCCAGCTCTGAGGACAACCCGTTTGGCCTCCACCGGCACCTGTGTACACATGCTCATCTCCACACACATAACATAATAAAAAGTAAATAAAATTGTAAAGAGCTATTAGACTAGTCAAAGTCTTTACTGTAATTTGGTTTGTTGTTATACCTTATGTGTTTTCTCACTTCAGGGAAAGGGAAATTGAAACACACTAAGTTTACAGCTGTGCTGTAAATTATTAGTGCTTTTCTCCATATGATTTTTAAACATTAGAATCTGTTTTAGCTTTATCTCACGATATTACAGTCGGGATGCGGTTTTGCTACACGTGCTCCTCTTGTTTGTCTCCAGTGCCAGGACCCTCCAGTGACAGCGGCGTCAGCATTACTGTGATCCTGATGGCCTGGATGGTGATTGCAGTGCTCCTGTTCTTACTGAGGCCTCCTAATCTGAGAGGCTCCAGCCTCCCCGGGAAGCCCTCCAGTCCTCACAGTGTAAGAATGACTTATCCTTTCTGAGTAGCGTGGGGGTGTTTGTTTATCCAAAGGAAGACTTAATTCTTGCACTGAATTCTCTCAATAGAGTCATAATAAGATTTTCAGTCCCCAGTTGTCTTTCCTGGAGATAAACATACAAAACAGAGCTAGGTGTGGCTCATCTGTAACCCTGCACTTGGGAGGGTGGTGGGTTAGGAGGATTACCACAAATTCAAGGCCTGCCTACCCTGCCTAGTGAGTTCTAGGCCACCTAGTACTGCAAAGTGAGATCCTATTTCGGGGAGGGGATGGGTATCTACAAAATGACACAGTGTCCAGAAAAAAAAGTTGTCAGGCTGGGGATGTGGTTCGGTTGGTAGGCTGCTTGCCTAGCATGCACGAGGCCCTGCATTGGCTCCTCAGTACCTCATAAACAGGGTGTGATGGCACTCACCTGCCTTTTTTGAGGCCTTTTGTTGTTAATGTTAGAACTTATTAGAGGAGAGCAAGTATTCAGTGAGAACTGGGCTGCACCATGGAGCTTTCAGTAGAACAGCAGATGCAGATGCGCCCTGTGTTGAGTTAGCCAAGAATGGCTTCATTGGCACGCACATGTTTTCATTTGCAGATGTACCCTTCCTTCCTTCCTTCCTTCCTTCCTTCCTTCCTTCCTTCCTTCCTTCCTTCCTTCCTTCCCTCTTTCCCTCCTTCCTTCCTCTCCTCCTTTCTTTCCTTCCTTCCTTCTTTCTTTCCTTCCTTCTTTCTTTCATGTTTTGTTTGTTTGTTTGTTTTTCGAGACAGGGTTTCTCTGTGGCTTTGGAGGCTGTCCTGGAACTCCCTCTGTAGACCAGGCTCCCTTTCTTCCATACCACATGCAAACCACTGTATTTACCTTATGTTCACACAAAGAGTGCAACTATGAATTTAGTCTGAAGGGGCTGGGGAACAGGTGTGTTGCTCCTTTTTACGTATTAGATGTATTAAAAGTCACTTAACACATTCTTTTTTAATGCCAGGGACAGGATCCGCCCGCCCCTCCTGTGGACTAATGTTGATGTGGGAAGCAGAGATGTTAAACGCTGTGCAAGACCAAATGACTGAAGATGACCAGAGTACTCTTAACTTTTTCCTTTCCACCTGCAATTTGGGATGGTATTGTTTTCATGAGCTTCTAGAAATTTCACTTGCAAACTGACTTTTGCTTCCTGTGTTGCCACAGTCCTTATTTACGATATACCTGAGTAAATGATTCTGTTGGAAAGTCCACAGGGCTTGTTGGTTGGCCTAAGCTTAAAACATTCCACACGTTGTCCCTGGAACCGTGATCATAATGTCCATGGTGGTTTCTGGCCCGATTGAAGGAAAATTGAGATTTCTGCATTTAAGTATTTTAAGTGGATTTAATAGATTTAAATTTTTTTCATAAGGTATTTATTTGGGGTTATCTGGTATGAGTGACAGAGCCACACTGTATTTTCTTTGCCTTGCCAGTTTACTTGTGGGTGGCAGTTCTTGGGACAGTGACACTTTTAGAGTATTTCCCCTAGAGCCTGCAGGTCTGAGGTACAGTTAGTTGGCTTATGTGGCTAGAATAGGAAAAGTTAACTGGTTCTTTACTGGTTTTTTTAAAATTCCCATTAAAATTTTCTGATGTTAAGAATACATACTTTAAATAAATACGATTGATTAAATAGTGGTTGGTTTAAAGTCCGTTGCGTGTCATTGGAAGCCACTGTATGCTGCTAGCCTTACACGGCTGGTGAAAGGAAAAGCTGAGTCTTTCTGTCTTTGCCAGGTACACTCTCTATCCTGTGCTAATGTGGCTAACATGTCTGTAATGTTTTTTAGTGAATGCCTCTCAACAAGCTTCTCTGCTTCTCTTCGATTCCCACACTTAGCCGTTAAAATGAAATCATCTAATACCTACCTACTTACTTATTTTCACACCTTTTTTATTTGACAAAAATTTCTTTTGTTGCCTCTGACTTTGAAGAAAAAGAAGCCTTTAAAATGAGGTCTTGGTTTATTCCCAGGGAAAAGAGGAGCATGGCAAAGAAGACTATTTCTCCCCTCTGGGCTCGATTCTGTTTGCTGATGGGATGGAGATGTATTGGATTGGGAAGAAGCATGAGAACCTGAAATTTCAAAATGTGTTTAAAAGTAAGAGGTTGCATTGTTCGCCTCAGTTCAAAAAGCAGTGAATACAAGTGGTATTTAAACATGCATGGATGGCCTGGAGTGTTTGTCTAGGAAGTAGCTGCCAGAACCTATTTTGCAATCAGTGTAGAGATTTCCTCGCTCAGGTCAGTCTAGGCTGTCATTGTACAGATCTGAGAAACTATATGTGTGAACTAAATAAACTTGTCCATCATTGCGCCATTGACAGGCCCGTGACCTGGCTCTGTGACACTGGTTGTTTCCCCCATGTGGTGGTTACTCTCTGGCCTGTAAGCATGGTTAAGAGCATCACTTTGTCCTGTGCTGCGACACTGGCTGCTGGTGTCCTTCCTGGCTCCCTTGGTTTTGCCCTCAACACTTGAAATAATGGAACCACCTTTGAAGTACTTGTGCTTATAACGGGGTGACTTAGCCCAGGTAAGTTAAATCCTGAACAAACGAGCACCACGGGGCCACTGAAGGGTTTCTCTTTCGCTGTGGCTTCATAGCTGGCTACCACTTCATAGCTGGTAGCCGGTTTAACACAAAAGCTGAATGTGGCGGCAGTGTTGAGGCCAGACTAAATTATGTAGTGAAGGTCAGGCCATGTTGGGCTGCGTGGGGAGACCTTACCATAAGACACCCCATAAAGGAAAGACGGGACGGGGTGAGGGACTTAGAGCTGAATGAACAAAATTGGAACGGCACCAAATGGAGTGACATCCCTGCAGCACTTCTCCCTCACCTCTAACTGAAGGTCTGCACACGGGCGCCAGCAGCCTGTCTGCTTCCTAACCTGCTGACGCGAGACCTGACGGAGAGCTGATGTGTTCACTCAACCTGCCTCACCGTGGCTTAAAAGAAATGGACAAAATGTGGCTACAGAACATCTGCTGCTAGAGACCTGGCAGTGTGGGTTCTTATTCTAGATGTTCATTTCAGTCACATGCACTTCCTGTGTCTAAATACCATAGCCTCAGAGATTTTACTTTCCAGCACAGAAAGGGCTTAGTTACATGTTCACCAGAAGTGTGTGTGATCACAACTGTATAGACATTGGACATCTCCAAAGCTGCCTGGCATTGGTGGTGCATGCCTTTAATGCCAGCACTTGGGAGGCAGAGGCAGGACAAGCTAAAAAAAAAATACAGAGAAACCCTCTCTTGAAAAACCAAAAATGGAAAAAGAAAAGAAATCTCCAGAACTGGAGAGATGGCTCAGCCATTAAAGGCTAGGCTCTCAACCAAAAATACAAGAAAAATCCACTCCAGATATGTCAATGCCTGTTAACAGTTGAGTTTCTTTGAGAAATACTTGGTCTTGGGCTTTTGGGTTTGTTTGTTTGTTTTTCTTTGTTATTTTGTTTTCTTTGGAAATTTTTCTGCATTCCTAAAATGGTGATATCCTGCATAGAATATTATTATTAAACTCACTAATACTTACATCATTCTCTTCTTGAAACTTCTACATGTTTTAATTGACCATGTTCTTGCCCCATTATTTAGCTTGCAAGCATTCACTTGATCTGCAGCTACAATTCTCTTAAAATAGCAAAAGTAAAAGAGGAAGTTTACATTCCTGTCACTTTGGGCCGTTTGTGCTGTCTGGAGTCCATTTGAGAGTCATTTCATACTGTTTTACACAACATCTAGTAGTTTTGTTTTTCTGTCTTCCACATGGGGCAGGTTAAAACTAGGACTGGTGTTAGCAAAAGGTTTTATTGTGTATCTAAACACTGTCCTGTGGTTAGTAAGTTTTATGGTGTACAAGGTTTCTCAGAGTGTCCACTGAGGATTGCCACCCCATGGTTCCCTTAGTGTCAGTGACAGTGTTTATAAACTCACATCTTAGATGTTTGAAGGAATTGTGGAAGCCTGTCATTCTAAAGTCTGTCTCTTGGTGATTTTGTGCTCAAGCTTGACCAGCTCAATTTAAAACAGAGAACAACTTGAAGAAGGAAAAGTGAAGAGAGTTAATAGCAAATGATTTGAATGTTGTTGTTGCAATAGAAAATAGGAACCATCTTAACATTTCTCAGTGAAGAACCCTGAGTGTTTGTTACATGTCTAATGATTATTTGTGAAGAGCAAAAGTGGCCATGTGATGTACTAAATGTAATTTGCTGTTTCTAAATGTTTAAATCATGCCAAACAAATCAGTCCGTGCCATCTCACATTTATTGTTAATCTTTTACTGAGTACTTGGATTGGGGCAAAGGGCTTGTACTATGCACTTTTTATTAATGAATAAATAGAAAACGTTAGTAACACTGTTTTCTGTTTGGCTTTTGTGGGAAACGATACCTCTTCTACTTAGTAAAGTGTTAACATCCTGGGTTCCTAGTTAAAACTTTTCAACTCAAGATATTCCTAAGAAATAAGAAAAATATTTACATAATATCCCAGGATGAAGCCCAGTGGATAGAGCCTTCATGCATGAAGCTCTGTGTTTCATCACCCACACTTCAGAGGTAAGGCATGGTGGCACACATCTGTAATTCCAGCCCTTGGGAATCGAGTGCAAGGTCACCCCGTGACATAGCAAGTTTGAAGCCAGCCTTGGATGCAGGAGACCTTGTCACAATTTTTAAACAAAATAAAAAGTATGGGGTCAGTATTCAAAAGAAAAGGGTCTACGAACCACTAGGAAGTTACAGTACATTTCTTTGGTTATCTTTTTCCTCCTAGACTGTGGTTCAAACAGACATTTTCTTTGAGGGAGTAATATGCAGCAGTATTTTTCTGAGCAGTCATTTGTACCTGTAAACTGCACTGAAATCACACAGAGCTAAAATTTTCCTTTTGCTCTGACCTGGAAAGTGTTCAGACACAAAAAGCATGATGTATGTATGTATGTATGTATGTATGTATGTATGTATGTATACATACATATGTGGGGTAATGTCTTTGTGTCCGGGGCCATTGAGTACTCTTTAATCCAGATGGAGGTAGCTGAACTGGTTAGTTGAACAATTATAGGAGCTTGGTGTTGGGCCAGTCCTAGAGGGTTGGTTTCTTTTGACAGAGGGTGAGGCACCAAGATTTAGCTGGGTAACTCTAAGAGGATGATGGAAAAGGTTCACTTTTGTTAAACACTCTTTAAGCTACCCTCAGCAACCTGGTCCTACTTACTCCTTTAAATTTTTCTAACTTTTTTTCTAATATCTGGGGCTGACTGGGTTAAAAATGAAATCTTTTTGTTTACCATCTATCTATCTATATCTATCTATCTATCTATGTATCTATCTATCTACCTACCTACCTACCTACCTACCTACCTATCTTCCCTTGAGACAAGGGTTCTCTGTGTATCCCTGGCTGTCCTGGAACTTACTCTATAGACACACTGACCTTAAACTTGCAGAGATACATCTGCTTCTGCCTCTGCCTCTGCCTCCTAAGTGCTGGGATTAAAGTATATTTTATTATCATTCAGCTAAATTAAACATTTAATCATCCTCGGTCTGGTGGTGGTGGCTCACACCTTTAATCCCAGCACTCGGGAGGCAGAGGCAGGCGGATCTCTGTGAGTTTGAGGCCAGCCTGGTCTACAGAGCGAGTGCCAGGACAGGCTACAAATTGACAGAGAGCAAAAACCAACAAACAAACAAAAAACCCAAAACACTTAATCCTCCTGTTACCATGTTCTAAGTATTAGAATTGCAAGTGTATCTAAACACAACCAACTAGTGTGTGGTAATACAATCCAAAGTGTAAAATATTCATGAACCCTACTGATGCAATTAAGTCACTGAATAAATGAGACAAAAGTGCTTAAAAACTGTTCTGTTCTAGAACTGAGAAACCAAAGCTAAAATCATTCCTTTTTGCCCATTAATATTTATATTCATGGGCTGGGAATTCGCTGAGAACTAATTCCATTGCAGTAGAATTACTTTTTACACAGCAATTTGTGGATATTTCCTGATTCCTAGAAGTAACACATTTTATAATGTGAGATTGCTCTTGTGAGAGTGATGAAGACAAATGACTTCATGAGTGACTCCCAGCTGGAGTCTGTCCCATTGGTATGAAAGGCCAGGAAGATAAAAACGCTATCAACTGGTCACGGTTGTGCCTACCTGCAGCTCTGTACTCAGGAGACTGAAGACCATGTTTAAAGCTACCTTGTGCCCCAAAGCAAGACACTGTCTCTAAGAAAATCAAAACCTATTTTAGTAACTAGTAAGGATGACATTTTGCAAAGAGTAGCTCTAAGATGTTAGTAGTGTGAATTTTCATTTCACATAACTAACTTTGTGGTGGTCGAGAAAAATCATCGTTTGCGGCCGTGAGTTCAATTCCCAGCAATGCATACACACGGTTACTTCTAATTATAAGGTACTTACAAAGGTTGACAAAGAAGGTGAGATCATGTCAGGAACCAGTAATCGCTTAAGAAAGAATTCTCGGAGCAGGTATCTGAGCTGAGACCTGAACCGTGCCGTGGTGTGGTAAAGAATGGGGGCAGCAAGTAAAATTGCCACTCTCGGGATGACAGGATAAGATCAAAGGAGCTCAGAAAGAAGTCTCTGTCTCCCCGACCCCAGGACAACATAAAATAGTTTATATTTTATTCACATCCATTGGGGGTTTGTTTGTTTATTTCTTTTTTTCATCTTATGAAAGTCTTAAGGCTTCGAATGCCAGATACAAACTTTGGAATCACTCTGGACATAAAGGAAAGTCATTGGCCACGGAGACAATGGAATTGTTTATAATCTCATTCTGTGTACACGGATTGCGTGACTCAGGAAAGGGCACACACTGTAGAGCACGTGTGAAGCTTGGCCTCAACTCCTACCCAGCTCCACACACAACAAAAGAAGGGAAGGGAGGGAGACGAGGTAGCGGCTAACAAGCCATGGGGGTTGGGATGAAGGTGTCAGTGGCTTTGGCAGGTTTGGGTACTTTGGAGTGCTGCCAATAGATCAGCAATGGTCAGGTGATGGATCAAGGGAAAAGTAGAAAATGAGAGTGACAGCTCATCTGGGAGCCTGCGCAGCTGGTGGATGATAGAAACAGATGGGAAAGTTTATGGAAAAGGAAACGCATGGTGAGAAGAAGCAAGATGCCAAGAAATTTCCCTTAGTCATGTTGACTTGCTGGAATAAAGACCAAGTGGTTGGCGGGGAGTGTGTGCCTGTAATCCCAGCACTTGGAGGCAGGAGGATCGAGGGCTAGACGCCAGTCAGGGATGGGGAAACACAAGACTGACCCCAGTAATTTAAAACAAACTTGAATGCACACAGCAGTCCAGCAGTGTAAGTGATGTCCGGTTCAGACACCTGCTTCACATACCACCCAGACTCTTATCCTGGTGCTCTGTCATCTAGAAGTATAGCTCCTTAAAGTATGGCTTATAACCCTATAAGGGGATTGCTTTAGCTGATTGTGGGGGTTGGGGAAAATGACACCAGCAAACGGTTTTTGAATGTGCAAAATCAAACAATGAATCAGAGGTGTTTTTGACAACACTCATGTTGCATTGTGTGACTTCACTGGTGCCTTGGTTCTGCACACTCAACACGTGCACCTTGCACTGAGCATGTAAGGCTATTATGTTTTAAATGGCAGTGGCTTTACTGTGCATAGGTCTTCAGTTTTTGGAGAAATGTAACAGTTCATGAAAAACAAAGATTTTTCCGGGTGTTGGTGGCGCACACCTTTAATCCCAGCACTCGGGAGGCAGAGGCAAGTGGATCTCTGTGAGTTCGAGACCAGCCCGGTCTACAGAGTGAGTTCCAGGACAGGCTCCAAAACAATACAGAGAAACCCTGTCTTGAAAAACCAAAAAAAAAAAAAAAAAAAAAAGGATTTTAAATGTTTTCCTACTGTCATTCCTCTGTGTTTATTTAAGTATCAAAATTGTACATCTTTGGTTGTTTTTCTCCCCTATTTAGCACCATCAGGTCTGTCTGTAGGTCTGTGTGGAGGCATAATTTTGTTTTTTGTTTGTTTAATTTTTCGAGACAGGATTTCTCTGTGTAGCTTTGTAGACTAGGCTGGCCTCGAACTCACAGAAATCTGCCTGCTTCAGCCTCCCAAGTAGTGGTGGCGCACACCTTTGATCCCAGCACTAGGGAAGCAGGTAAATCTCTGAGTTTGAGGCCATCCTGGTGTACAGAGTGAGTTCCAGGACAGTCACACAGAGAAACACTGTCTCAAAAAATTTTTTTCTAACATTAAAAGAAAAAGAAAAGCAACAGTTGTTTTACCACATAAAGGACTGCATAACTCCAGTTATGGAGGAGATGCATAAGAATGCTCATGTTGCTGCCTAAGAGAATCCTGTCTATGAGAGGAGGCACAAAGGGAGGAAGAGATGGAACTGTCCCCAAACGGCCCTTGCCCAGAAGACGGGCTAGCTCCAAAAACAGCAAGCTGTCCCAGAGCCAGGAATAGGCTGCTGAAAGCTAAAGCCTTTTTTTTTCCCCCAGAAAAACAATAAACCCGATGGGTGGTGGTGCACACCTTTAATCCCAGCACTCGGGAGGCAGAGGCAGGTGGATCTCTGTGAGTTCGAGGCCAGCCTGGTCTACAGAGTGCGTTCTGGGTACTTGCCACCAAGCATGAACCTGAGTTGGGCCCCTGGAACCCACATGGTGGAAGGAGATAACTGACCTTCATAAGCTGTCCTTTCACCTCCACACCCACAAGCAAGGTGTCACATGTGCCCCTATACAGTCACAAAAATAGATAATTAAAATTCTTTTAAAGATTCTTTATGTTATGAATGAGTGCTCTATCTGCATGTGCAATTTTATGCCATAAGAGGGCATCAGATCCCACTATAGATGGTTGTGAGCCACCATGTGGTTGCTAGGAATTGAACTCGGGTCCTCTGGATGAGCAGCCAGTGCTCTTAACCACTGAGCCATCTCTCCAGCCCCTGATAATTAAAATTCTTTTTTGAGAATTCCAACATGGATGAGGACGGGACCTACACCTAGCTGAGGCGCTATTGACAAATGGTGGCTGCTGGGGAGAGTCATTTTTCGTTGGGGGTGTGGCCACCTGTAGGTTGCCCATGCTCCAGGGAATGTCCCCATATATACCTGTGCATATGGACAGCACTACCTAGACTGAGTGGATAATTGAAAAAAGCTTTCCAATCCTGACTACAAGATAACAACAGAAAAAGAAAAAGAAACAATGGTTGAGTTAGCCACCCGCAGCTGCAGCTGCACCAAGGACAGGGCCATTAAGTTCATCATTGGAAACAGTAGAGGCCACTGCCATCAGGGACATTTCCAAAGCTTGTGTCT